TTTTTGAATAATTGAGAACCAAAAATTCATCATTTCTCATATGTGTAGATGCTCTATTAGAAGCCGCATCCCCTCTGTTGCATTGTACCATTTTAATAGAAGCCGCGGTTTCTAATACAGATTTTACAGTAAATACAGGTGAATACTGCTCCACCAAAATGTATCAATCTTGAACAAAATGCACTCACAACAGAATAAGTTCTCTTTCATGTTATTTTAGAAGAAGTAGATGTACTGGCATGAACTAACATGATTAAAATAGTAGATTCTTTAGAGGGGAAAAGTATATTTAAGCTTTCACTTTAATACTTTTTAATTGAATACATTAAATAAAGATTTGCAGATTTGCCATGTTCAGCCAAAAACAATTTTTTTCTTTTTGAAAGTTTATTCATTTCTGTGGTTGCATTTGATACAAAATTATATATCAATTAAATTCATTGAATTCCAATGAAACATGGAACCAATAAACCAATGATTTCCGTGAATCTTGGTACATACATGTATATGCCAAACACTGTGTCCTGAACTACTGTGAAGTACTTTATTTTCGCTGGAATTAATTTTCGCTGAAAAGGCTTTTTGGTCGTTTTGTATGGAATTTATTTTCATTGATTTTTGATGAGTTTAATGTGAAATATAGAAAAAAAAGTATATTCGCTGGATTTTATTTTCACGGAATCATTGCTTCAGCGAAAATGGCGAAAATAAATTCCAAGCGAAAATAAAGTATTCTACAGTATATCATATCATGACTTGTTCCTCTCTGAATCACTCACCATTTCCATCCTAATCTATCTTGCTTGCTTCACAATGAGTTTTGTTTGTTACATTTCTCAGCTACTTACTTTTTTTTGTAGCAAAGACTCTAGGCTCTGAAATTTCACACCTTATTTATACCCTTGCAACACTTCAAAACAACTCGTGAGATTAATGAATATTTTCGCTACTATCTACTATTCATCCAATGATACTAGAATTTGTATATTTTTGTCACAGGTTCAGTTTAATACAGCACAGATTCAGTATATCCAACAACAACAACAACAGCAGCAACAACAACAGCAACAGCCACAGCAGAGACAAGTAACAACTGGACAACAGCAATCTCAAGCACAGACTGTACAGGTTACACAAGCTGGACAACAAGGAGAATTCATTACACAGCTAGCCCCAGGCCAGGTATGTGACTGAGAGAATGACTCTTTTTGTAGTCAATACAAAGCACTCACAAGGAACATCATCTTCACCGGCCAAGGTTCATTTTTTTGACCATCATCTCACCAATATACCTTGGCAGAATTCCTACTATTCATTGTTGATAAGATCAAACACAATCAAATGCGAAGTTGTGTGTTTTTATCAGTTAAGGCAAATCTATTGGTTTATATTTGAAATGGATGTGATTTGATTTCCTTGGCATTCAGTGTATAACTGAGGTTCAAGAAGCTTTTTCTAACATGATCACATAACACGTTTGTAAGGATGGCCATTGAAGGTCAGCTCAGCAAAACTGTGAAAATCAAAACAAATATCAAATGGGATAATAAGCCATGAGGTGTATTTTTGTAGGTTCTGATAATTGTAGATTAAATTATAGGATTATTCATCTGTCAGTCTGATCAACGTTTCATTATCCATTTAAACATGCACAATCTCAGATATAAAATTGATAAAACAGCAAGGCATAATGTTGTACTTATTCAGGCAAATTTATTTTGGGTTTTGATAATATTTTACCAGCTGGTGTCTATTTTTATCACCAAGTCAGTTTTTCAACATTGATATCAAACTTTTCACTGCCAGACTTTCTCGCCCAAATTTGTCTGCACTTTTTGACTCCCGTGTGTGAAGCACACAATGGGAGTCTTTGCAGTTAGTTTGTCTGTATGTATGTGTGTGTGTCTGTATGTATGTATGTGTGTGTGTGTGTGTGTGTGTTTTTATTTATATTCTTCACTGTTTATGGAAATGAACCCTAATTTTGGAGCCAACAGACAAAATTTGAGTCAATTTTCAGTTTTTATAGAAAATTTGGCTATTTTCGTCCCAATCTTCTGAAAGAAATGCAAACTATAAACAGGACTATTTTGTAAATTTGTGATGAAAAAAGGAAACTGATGGTGAAAAGGTTATACATTACTCATAGTGCATAGTGATTTTCCAAACTTTTCACCCTTTACAGTTAAATTCCCCTACTGAACTTTTTAAAAAAAATTCGCTACTTCAAGTTCAAATGAAACTGATTTATATATTACATGTTTGTTTTTTCAGACTGTGTATCAGTTACCACAACAAGTATTTCTTCAACAACAGCCTATTGCCGGGACAACAGATCAAGATGCCCAGCCACAAACTCAGACAGTTGTGGAACAAGCCCAGTGAACAAACAAATATTTAACTCAGAATTTTTTATACATTGAATGTGTCTTTGTTTTTTCACTTTTGTGTACAATTCTACTTTGAATATCAGTAGTGGCAAATTATTTATTTTCAACATCCGTTCCTTGAAATGTTTTGTATTATTGCTGTTCTTTTTATTTACCTTTCTTATAAAGAAGTCCTTACAAATGTGATTTGATCCCGTTGTATTCCCTAATATTCTGCAATTAGACTTGCAGGTTTCGGTATCACACTGTATTATTGTGTATGACATACCATCTTTTATGTTTGTAGACAGCCTTGAAATAATCAATATTCTTGTCCTCCAAATATATATCAATCACACCAATGTATGGCTGATCAGTGTTTAATTTGAAACACTGCAACATTTTGAAGAAGATGGATTCATTTGGCACATTTGTTTTGTTGCACAAGACGCAGAATTGCCTACGAATGGCTAATGTAAACGGACAGAGTATCACGTGTACCAGAAAACCCACAAAGGGTGTATTACAATTGGGATTTTAGGGATAACCTTAAATGTTGGAGACTGAGTCATGCTCATTGTATATTTCACTAGTTTAGTTTTATTCCTCCTAGGTTACTTAGATTACTATGCATGCAAAGTTAATTGTTCAACATTGATTCTACTTCAGATGCTATATTATAGGTTTCTCATTATTTTAAAAAAATTTTGTGAAAAAAAATAGAAAATGTGTTTTTCATTCATACAAAAATAGAAAATGTGTTTATTCATACAGTACACAATAAGATGTTGAACAAAATAGAATTTATAGCATTTTTGTTTTCACACATTGATTTATAAGATATTTCTAAGGGCAACATGCATTATTCAACAATTAACCCCCTCTTTATTTTGTCACAGCACACCCAGTAACCGGGGAACCCCTCTAGTTTAGCATTTATAATCCTATAATTTTGAGGGATGTGATTCCATATATCCCCTTCCATACGCATTACTATTCCATATGTATGTATGTTCAACGGTTCTGAATTTTGTACTTTGATTCAAGTACCATCGTCATGATCGTCATCATGCAGTGCATGTTTGAATATCAAGTAAGCAAACACTGTATTTTACAAAACTTTTACATCGCATGGGACTGATTTATGTTGAACTTTGATGTAAATAGCTGCCAAGATCTTGTTAAGAATCAGTGTTAGGGTACTTGTTTTTAACTTTCAAATAGTGTTTCATTCTCAAGTCATCGTGGCAAGTTTTCCTCTGACTTGTGTAACTTTTAATATCAAGTAAGCAAACACTATTTTACAAAAGTTTTACACCGCATGGGACTGATTTATGTTGACCTTGGATGTAAATAGCTGTTAAGATCTTGTTAAGAATGAGTGTCAGGGAACTTGTTTTTAACTTTCAAATAGTGTTCCTGTCTCAAGTCATCATGGCAAGTTTTCCTCTGACTTATGTAATTTGATAATTACGGTAGTGAACACAATAACACTATTTGATGAGTAAAACCTGGCACTCTTTCGAAGAGTGCCTCGGCAGTCACTCAAGTCCAAGATATATTCTTACTCTTATACATGTAAGCACAGAAGTCATATTCATGTTTGGGACTACATGACAGGGCTTGTGTGGCCATCTCTCTGTCAAATGGAAATTTTAATGCGCTATCCAGGCGTCAACCAGGCTCGGTCGAACACAAGCACCTGCGACCTAAAACAAGGTTCCCCCAAAGTCGCTATCGTTAGTGAATAAATCTCGGCCAGTGGAATTGGCCTTCCCATTAAGTCTGTGGCACACTCACCCAGGGTAGGGAGGAGAGAACTTGGGTCTACTGATCATGAATCTGATGCGACAACCACTAGGCTACCAGTGATCGGTACATAGTTATGTAGCAACATATCCCATGGTATAGCATACATGTAGTCTGAGCAAAATATAACACTTTTTCTTTGGCCAATAATTTTATTATCAAGTGTAAACTCTATACCTGTGTTCCATCATTGGTAGTGGTGAAATAAAAGGGACATTATCATCAACTTTAGCTTTAAAATTTGATGGAACTCTTCATACTTCAGCCAACTACAGCTAACTTTTGTCGTTTAAAAAACAAACCTGCATAATTCCATATTTTTTAAAATAATTTAAATTAAGACCTGTAGCAAATTGAAATTATGTCTATTTGGTGCTAAGTTAATAAGGAGATTATAGAACAATTCACAAAATATTAGTGGGAAAGTGTTCCATAGGTTATGTAAACAGTGATATTTACTGTAAAATGCTCAATTTTTACTGCTTTCTTGATTTTATGGCATTTATTTGCAAAATTCACCAACACGGTGTTGTAAGACCCAACCAAAATAACTGCTACTGTTGTTCCAAATGCTAATTTTATATTGTACAAAAAAAAAACTTGAGGCCATTTATATGGCGTTGAAGTTGAGATGGATCCTGTCTGACTAACTGACTAGAGGAGGTGAAGTAAAGGGTGCGGTTGTGGACAGAAGTTTCTTGCCTGTGGAAGCATAAATATAAACAAATCCTATTTTGACCATTCAAAAAATTAAAAAACTATCTAGCTTATGTTAGTTAAATGAAAGATATGGCATTGTATTTATGAAAAAAATATTAATGTTAACAGTTTTTTCTAATATGAATACTTATACATTCTACATACAAGTGTTTGTAATGGAGAAAATATCCTGACAATATTTGAATAACTGGACTTGTCAGTGCAGATTTTATGTGTATGAAGAAAACATTTTTCAATGAAAATACTTTATTAGTGTTAATTTCCATCACTGTTGTATCATTTTTCATATTGAAATTTAATTTTACTGCCAACAACAACAATAATTATTAAATATATTTCTCAATATTGTTTCTTTTTCATTACTTTAATCTTTAATTTATCACATTGCTGATGTGATTTGCACATTTCAACATATTTTTTTAATTATTTGTAACAAACAAGTCTTCTAATAGAGGAAATATCTTGACAAAATTTGAATAACTACTATTCACTCAAAGTCGAGAAGAACGCTATAATCACTACGTGATGTACGGTGGGGAAGAGTAAGAATACATATCACCACTGTGATGTAAGACAGGGCGAATCAAGAATCCATATCACCACAGTGTGATGTAAGACAGGGCGGATCAAGATCCATATCACCACAGTGTCATGTAAGACAGGCAGATCAGAATCCATATCACCACAGTGTGATGTAAGAACAGAACAGATCAAGAATACATGTCACCACTGTGTGATGTAAGACAGGGCAGATCAAGAA